TTTGGAAACAAGAGCTTACGCTTTGGAAACAAGAGCTTACGCTTTGGAAACAAGAGCTTACGCTTTGGAAACAAGAGCTTACGCTTTGGAAACAAGAGCTTACGCTCAGTACACAGTTGACAGGCCCCGCTTGAACAGCTGTCATCCGTCAGCAATCGACAGCCTCAACCACCTGGGTCTACTACAGTGCAGCCCACATCACGACTATCGGCTACTGCAACACGCATGTATCGATATAACACACCTGTATAGTCATTCATATCACAAACCATGCAGGTATGTATGCCATGTAGGTAGGTATGGCTTACTTGTGATGTCGTATACAATGACGGCCACGGACGAGTCTCGGATATAACTGGGGATGAGCGATCGGAAGCGTTCCTGCCCAGCCGTATCCCACAGTTGCAGCCGCAGTGTACGGTCTTCAAGGTACATGGTCTTTGACAGGAAATCAATGCCGATGGTTGCCTGTAGTAAAGCCAGCGGTGTGTGACACAGGTTAGAGGAAACGTAGTATCTCGCCTACATATGGCTATAGGTGGATCTGCTGCAGCACACGCTCGTGTGCACGAGCGGATATAGTGCCCACCACCCCCCCGCGGCAATCACTACGATGTAGGGTGAGTCGTCAGAAGAAGCTCTGGATGGACCTGTGCATGTACCGTCTAGATGGACTGTGTAATGAGACGTGTGCACGTGCATGTTGCTGTGTTATACATACACTAGCCTCGCCTGTCGCTCGAGCCAACGACCACGTCAGCACCAGCATGCGAGAAGTAGCACATTCGAACATCCGAGTTCGATTTTTGTGGGGCGTACGATCCTAGATAACACAGAATGTCATACAGACACTCTTCGATGGTTACTGAAGACCTGTGCCCTACCCATCTTCCTATTACGATAAAGCACAAAGATCATCTACCCCCCTTCCCAACACACCCACCCACCATTACACCAGCTAAACTACAAGCGCATGCCGGAATATAGAATAGATGATGCATCCATGTATACACACAATTCTTACCTGATATGGACTAAATGAGCAAGTGACATGCCTACACACATGCCTGATATGGACTGAATGAGAAAGTGACGTACCTACACACATGCCTGATATGCACTGAATGAGCAAGTGACGCACCTACACATATGCCTGATATGGACTGAATGAGCAAGTGACGTACCTACACACATGCCTGATATAGACTGAATGAGCAAGTGACGCGCAGACACACATGCCTGATGTGGACTGAATGAGCAAGTGACGTGCTTGCACACATGCCTGTTATGGACTGAATGAGCAAGTGACGTAC